GTTCCGGGCGCTGTTCCCTGCGTCCCGGTGCCTGTTCCCCTGCTCTTAGCACTGCTCGGCGGGGAGGGAAGGTTTGAAAGCACGCGAGAGGCGGCTCTCCCTTTAAAAGGGAAAGCAGGTAACAATGGGTTTCGTCCCCCGGTACAGCGGCACCGTCTGCGTTCTCATGGACGTGTATCTGTAGGACACAGATGAGCGGAAAATAAGTCATAGCGAGAGAGCGCTCCCCGTGCTCGCGGGGAAACCCCGCTGGGCAGGCTCTAGAAGGGTTACACCCGACACGCGGGCGTCCGGCTCTCGCCTTCCCAGCGTCCAGGGTTGTCCGCTCGCTCTGGGTCGCAGGAGCTAGAGCCCAGCTCCGCACCTCTGCCTGCTGGCCTGTCGCATGCAGATTCCTGTGACGGTTGGGTGGAACTGCCATCACTGTTCACGCCCTCCCCCGTTTCCTGGGGCACGCAGTCAGACCCGTGTGACTTAGAAACAAACGGGACATAACTCTGCTCTTCCCACAAGGTGCGTGGCCAGTGGAGTTTGGCCACCTGGCAAATGGTTAAAATGCCGTATTTCATGGTTTCTAAGACACTTCCTTTTAACGTCTCTGAAACCAGAATGTATCATGAAACCAGTGACATCAATATTGAACGGCAGTATTTTTTCTTTCCTGGTGCCTGAAATAATAGTGCGTATTTGAGTCAGTGCTCTCACAGGTTCAGAATTTCATACGTAGGCCTTCTCGGTAACCTGTTTGAAGCTACAGGCTCTGGTTGTCCAAAGCAGTACCTGCTCATTTAGGTAAACCTGCACAGGACGCTTGGTGTTGAACCCTATGACACAGTTGGACCAGTGTTTTATTAATGGCTTTGAAAGGTGTCCTTGCCTTGTTTTGGGAACGCATCGACTTATGGTTACACTGAGGTAGAATCTAGTACCTGTAAGCAGTGAATTTCATATTTTATTCAAATCTTACCTTTTTTCTTTACTAGGAAGAAGATGCTCGGAAAAGAATCCTGTGTCCTTTAGATCCAAAACAGTAAGTACGGGGTCAGATAAGGGTTTTTCTGTGCTGGAAACAGTCATTGTCACAAGTCTTATTTTAAATAATTTTCTTTTTAAACGTAGCACAGTATACGAAGATCAACTAGCAAAGCATTTGAAAAAATGTAACTCAAGAGAGAAGCCAAAACCTGTGAGTATTTGATGAGTGAAGGGGACGAAAGGAGGTACAGACATGGGAAGGAGGAAAGGGGCAGTTTCTCAGCCTAGTTCCTGTGAGGTCTTCACATTAATAACAGTATTTTTGTGGTTCATTTTGTTTTTCTTAAGGACTTCTTTATTCAAGATATTAACGCAGGCTTAAAAGATGAGACAGAAATACCTGAGCAATTAGTAAGTACTTGACTTAATATTTTAAAATAGCATTTATAAGCTGTCTCCACATTGTGAATAAGCTGTGTTCCAATTTTTGTTTGAAATAAGTTAATTTTTTAGAATTTAGAATGCATTTTCCTATAGAACTGATATTCTTAATGATCAGTTCGCGCCTCATTTTTGTATTTAGGTTCCAATTTCTTCTCTCTCTGAAGAGCAGTTGGAAATTTTAATTAAGAAGTTGAAAAAAGCAAGTGAAGGTAAGTCTGCCTAAAGTTGCAAGTTCAAGATTTTTAAGAACAATGAGGTGGTATGTGAACTGATGCCAGTGTGGTTTAAAAAGATGTTACTACCGTTGTTCAGTGCCCTATGGTTTCGTGTTTGGTTGCTTAAGCAATTATGCTTATATTTGGCACAGGTTTGAACTCTACACTTAAAGATCAAATTATGTCCCATCCAGCATTGCATGATGCCCTTAATGACCCTAAAAATGGTGATTCTGCAACCAAACACCTGAAACAACAGGTATGTTCAGGCCATGGTAACTCTACTAAAAATGGCCTTGTGTTCGTTTGTCAAAAGCTAACATTCTGTTCTTTCTAAATATATTTATTAATGAGATTACATTAGTTTCCCTTTTGGGTACACAATCCTTCTGTTTCAAAAAATATGCATAAACATATATTACAGAATTTTGGCATTGGTATGGTTCTGAGCATTGTGTATTAAATATTTAAAAGCAAAGAGTAACAAATTTAAAGCCAAACAGAAGTTTTCCATGTGAACATGCTGCCTCATTACGTAGACATCACCTTGCTGTTTCCCATTTGAGCCAAATGTGTTTGCTCTTGTTTCTAAAATAATCTTGTGAAGTGTGCAGGCTTCTATTTTAGGTAACATTGAGAAATTAAAGTTACTTGGACCAAGAAGATGCTTTGTTGAGTTTGGAGCAGGAAAGGGAAAATTATCTCATTGGGTTGATATTGCCTTAAAAGATGCTGAAAAAGTTCACTTCATTCTCGTGGAGAAGGTGACCACGAGGTTCAAGGTGAGCGAAGCCGCACGGTATGTTAGTCACCAAACTTATGTTCACACTTCCTTCCAAAAACAGACCATGTCTCTTAAAGAAAGTGGACTTTTTTGTGTGTTTATTTGATTAAAGCTTTTTATTCTAATTATATTGGTAACAACCTGAAGATAAGTTTTTTAATCCAACGTTTGATAGTCCATTGATCTGAGTTCTTAAAACTATTTGCAGAGATAAGAAAATAAGTGGAAAGAGGCAAGCTCAAGCTAGGAGCTAGAAGTGTTGGGTCCTCTGGCAGTTAGTAGCTCTTCATTCAGTGAAGAGCATGTACTGCGTGTACTGCCAGGCACCCTGGTAGACGTTGGGTAGGTAGAGTCAGATAAGACAAGGTCCCTACCTCTGTCACGTACACATAGAAAGGAGAGACAGACAAATCAATAAATGATCATAGAAAAGTATTAAAATACAAAAAGTCTGCATGGAAGTCAGTGTGGGTCAAGAGGAGGGAATGACAAGTTTTCTGAAGGGAAGGGATGGCACTGACTACACAGACAAGGTGGTAACTGAAGCGTGTCCTGAAAGCTGAATTAGTGTTTGCTAGAAAGAGGGTCTGAGAAGCACTCTAGGAAACAACAGTAACACAGAGACATTTCTGTGTGATGGGAGGAGATGGGGCCCAGTGAGTTCAGCAGGGGCAGAGGGCAGGAGGGCTGGGTAACGGTCCGGCTTCATCCTGCTCCAGGGTGGGGACACAGCTCCTGTCTTCAAGACACTCACATCTAGTGGGGCAGCCTCACAAATATTGTGGTTTAGTTTGCTAAGTGTCTTATGATAAGGGTAAGAACCAGATGCTATCAGAGCAGGAAGACAGAACAGCAGCCTCAGTCTAATGTGGGTCACGAAGATTTCCTGGAGAAGTGACAGCTGAGAGGAGACCGAAGAATATATAAGAGTTGGTGAAGTAAATAAAAGAAGGGTTTTTAAAACTACCATTCAAGCTGATCAAAGAGTGTGAAACTTGAAGCAGGGAGGTTAACTATAAGACCATTATTATCCAATAATCCAAATGACAGATGGACCAGAGCTCAAGCTGTGCCCGGGGATGGAGAGGAGGGGAGGAGATGAGCAATGTTCAGATGTTGGAAGCCAGGGACTTGGTGATGTGTGTCTGGTGCTCAGGAGAGCTCTGGACCACAGTGCAGCTTATAAGTCCTAGGCACGTGCGTATGGATCGGACTGGTGGTGATCTCTCCGGGAGAGTAAGGGGAGGAGTGAGCCAAAAATAACGTTATTAAGGGCCGACAGAGAGAAAGGAGCGGGCAGGTGAGCTCGGTGACCCTTGGTTCCTTTGTCAGTGAACTGGGAGTTTTTAGAGTTAAAGGACATAAGGCATACATGATAATTTATAAAGCCTTCAAGCCTTATAAACATGTACAATGATATTATTTTGGAGTTTTTACCAAAGAACTTAAAATCTTAAATGTTTTATATTAATGATTCTCTTTTTTAAAGATAAAAAATAAGATGAAAACTTATTTGCTCTGAATATTAAAAACAAATAGAATTTATTTTCACAAAGCTTTTTTTAAACATAAAAAGCCATTGTTACGATAATGTTCTGTTTGTGCAGGTAGATGGCAAACACAGAAAGAAAAACTCAGTGTTTGAGAGACTTCAGATTGACATTCAACACTTGTGTCTGAGTAAGTTGCGTAACTTTCCGTTGTCTCCCACAAATCATAGAGGTTTCCAACTCTGGGGGTTGCTTAGAAGTTTGGTCGTGCAGAAAGTGCCTCAGGGCAAACAAGGGAGAGGCCTGGGTTGGTGCAGGGGAAGCAGCCTCGGCCTGCAGTCAAGAAACTGTCACTTTCCATGGCTCAGTGGCCACCTGTTACTTGTCAAGTCGCTGCATCTTTGAGCCACTTGTTTCTAAACTTCAGCCCTAAATTCAAAGGTTCTCATTCATTCTCTGTTTGGGGAGGCACATTAAGGCCTCACCCCACGAGGGAGCTAACTTGGTTCTCGTGTCCTTTTATTTCAGACAGGATTCCTGTGCTGAGCAGAGAAAAACTGCCTGTGGTGGGAATCGGGAAGCACCTGTGTGGTGTGGCCACAGGTGAGAAAGCTGCCCATCGTGTCTGGGTGCACACATGACGTCTCAGGGCACTGTGACCCCAGCCGTTTCCGTGGTCTCTCCAGAAGAGCTTACATCACTATGTTCAGAGCTTGTTAATCTTCCTGGCAGCCATGGCAGATCTCTGCTCCTCCGGCCATTTTATAGGATGAATTAAGGGTTTTATGTGTAAATATTCCGTCATATGGGACCTTAAAGTTCTTTGGGTTGTATTTCAACCGAAAAGTAAACAGATCATTTATGGAAACTGTATGATTTTGCCCCAAAAGCTACTGGTTTCTTTAGAAGAGTTGCTTGGGAAGGACTCTGAAACCCCTCCCACTAGAAGGTGATTGTGTACCAGGAGTCTTGGGGGAAAGAAAAAGAAATGTTAGGAAAGAAATCTGTGCTGTCTTAGCACCTCGCTCCACCGGCTCTAGCAGGTGCTGTGGAAAGAGTGTGGGCTTTGAAATCAGATAGTCCAGGGTTCTGCTCTGCTGTGTGACCCAGGCAGATTACCCAGCCTTCCTGAGCTGGGGTTATCGTGTGTAAAATGGGGTCGTGTGTAGTTTACCACATTACACATAGGGTGTCTGGCACATGTCAGTGTTCAGTTAAGGTTAACTGTTGTTACATCTCCCTGGCTCCTGCCACCTCACCAGCCACCTGTTTGGGGACCTGGCTGGAAGTGGCTCTGAGTGTCAGTTTTTGGATGGTTTTCATGCACTTACCCCTTTGACCCCCGTCAAGCCTTCTGTCTGGGAGGAGAAGAGCTCATCCGTTACCCTGCCACCTAACCGGGTTTCTCAGTAGCAGGGCCTCTGTCGCCACTTGTCGGTCACGCGTTTCCCCTCGACTCACCGTCTGGCCTGTCCCTTCACACGCCATCAGCGTCCTATTGGAGAGCCTGCCACAGCTGCTGCCCTCGGCTCCGTGGCCGCCTCCTGTCTGGCTGTTCCCTCCTTCCCTCCGCCTCTCCTTCCAGGACTGACACCTGCCGTCGGCCTGGGCCGATGCTTTTCCTCTTCGTTCCGATTTACTGGGCAGTAGACTTGACTCAGAATAAATCATTAGAGAGAGACTGTAATGAGAGAAGAGCAAACATGAACAGAGTTGATCACCCACAAAAGAATTATTACGGGCAGAAAGCGATGTAGGTTTGTTCCTTCGGTTTGGGGTTTGTAGAGACCATGGTGCTGACTGCATTTTAAAGACGCTGTCGCCGGGGCGCGTGGTTGTGTTTGCAGATCTTGCGTTACGCTGTTTGGTTGAGACCTATGGTGCCAGTTGTGAGGAAAGGAGTGAAGAACCTTTAGCCAAACGCGTAAAGAGTGATAAAGCAGCCCAGGAAAGTAACGCTGTGGCCGAGGAAGGAAGTGAGAGGAAGGTCCCCGAGACGCGCACCCCCGTGGCCGGCATTGTTATTGCACTCTGTTGTCACCACAGGTGTGACTGGCGACATTATGTGGGCAAAGAATATTTCAGGGCCCTGGGCCTGGGCGCTGTGGAATTCCACTATTTCCAGCGGATGAGTAGCTGGGCGACTTGTGGGATGCGGACAAGTTGTGTGGAAGCCTCGAGAGGAGAAGATGGGAGTGAGGACAGTGAGGAGCATGCTGGGGGCCCCGGCCTCCCCGACGAGCGCGCTGGGAGTTTGCCCGGGTGAGTGACTGAAGTGCACAGCTCTGGGGCAGGAATGTTTTCATCGCTGTTCTTTCCAATGAATACTGTCAAAATTTATTCACGAAAATGTATTTTACCGTCTAACTTTAGAATAGGTTAAAATACGATTTTATTGTGGTCGTCAGTAAAACGTGTCTTGGGAGCATGGGACACACACAGCCCACAGTATTTGGTGGGTTATCGAGCTGCTCCTCAGTAAATAGAAATGATAAAATAGCTTTTTATAAACTCTGACAACATTTTAACCTTGTTTTATGTGCGTTTGTTCGACGTAGGTTTCTTGCTGTTGAAGAAAAGAAGAAACTAGGGCATCTCTGTAAGCTGCTGATTGACCAAGGCCGGGTCGAGTACTTGCAGCAGAAGGGGTTCCGGCCCGCGCTGCAGTACTACACAGACCCCGCGGTGTCCTTGGAGAACGTGCTGTTGACGGCGTTGCCGACCCCCTCAGCAGCACAAGCCACTGCTTAACGGAAAAGGAATTGTGAACCTCTGTCTTCCACCAAAAGGCACACAAACCGCATTTTAAACTGTATTTTTGTCACAAACCACATTTTAAATTGTATTTTTGTCATAAACCGCATTTTAAATTGTATTTTTGTATTCACGAAAATAGCATTTAAATAGCAGATAATATGAATTTTAAAAAACGTGGCCTCCTTGAGCTTTGGTAATAGCTTTGTTTTTACTCAAGAAGTCTCCAAACTTGAGAGAATTCACCAGATTCCCAGAGTGACCTTCAGTAGGGCGTCCTGAGTTCCATTAGCCGTCGGGGTTTGCAGAGACTGGAGAAGTGGTCCCACCGCTGACCGGGTCATCTGAAACACACCACAGGTTGCTGTGTGACTGGACAGTGACTGTCTTTTGGCATTAATTTTGGAAGTTCATTTTCCTTTGGTCTTTAATACTATTTCTCAAGTTCAAGACATAATGACCAATTGTCAGTTTCTAACAAGGGCCACTCAGGATTTGGCTCCTGTGTGGCAGTTTCTTCCCATGCAGATCTGATTTTCTCCTATGCAAACATTCAGAGATGTTTACAATCAATCCACCTTCAGGTTTCCAGGGTCATACCTGTATTTATATGTTACCAGAATTTGTCTATGCAAACTCCAAAACCGAAGAGATATTTTCGGGGGCGGAGGGAACTACTTCATTTTACCGCATAAGTATGTAGTTAGCCCGCTTCACAAATTGAGTTGAAATTTGCAAGTAACTTTTAAACTTAATAATATCTTTTAACAGGCCATTTTTACATGTATAAATACAAATATAAGTATATTCTCGTTTGGGAAAATAATTTGGAGTAAAATGGATATTAGATAGTGAAACCAAAAACCTGCCTTTTAGGCCTCCTGTAACTCATAAACAGTTTCTGTGCACTAGCAAGTCTTAAACCAAACCTATGGTGCGACTGTTACACATCTTACCCTCAAGTTGTTCTGCCTGTTTGTAAAAATGTGTTAATCATTGGTACATTTGCCAAGATGAAGATTCAGAATTACTGATTTTTGGATATTACAATGATATTCGTAGGTAACTTTTTATCTTGTAGGTCTATGATTATATGAATTGTAAATTAAACACCTAGTCTATTTTTAATTCCTGAGCTTTCTATTTTAGTTTACTCTCATGTTTTATGAAACTGCCTGGGTTCAAATCCCAACCCTATGACCTTCCAGCTGTGTGACCTTGGGCAAGCTACTTAATCTCTTTGTGCCTCAATTTCCTCTTAAAATGGGGGTGGTGACAATGATAAAACCTACCTCACAAGGTCGTGAACATCAGATGAGATTATAAATATAAATGTGTAGAACAGTTCAGAGCAGAGTGTGTACTCAAATATTAACTGTTATGAATACTGCTAATTCATGAATCTATTTTTAATAAACAATAAGCAGACTTGGTTCTATTGTCTCTGTTGTAACCTTTTTCTTGTTATAAGTTTTATATCAAATATTATTAAAGTAAGGTAGTTTGATTATATTTTAACTTAGTTACTCACATTTGTCATCCCTGGGCAAAACCTGTTTTGCTCTTTTGTGAAATGTAGACAAAGTGGAAATGGCAGCGGTGGAGCATTCACAAGAGGGAACTGACATACACGACAAACGGACAGAACAAGAGCGAAGCTCTTAAGGGTCGCATCTTCACCTGGTCGTGCTCCAAGTGCTTGGCCAAAGAAACGTATTTCCTCCCTGCACCGGAAAGACTGAACCTGTACAGCCTTAGTCAAAACCGACTGGACGTGCGCTCTTCCTCCCGCCACGTTGGCCCAGGGACCAGAATGTGAGGAGCAGTAAGACAGGCGGAGGACCCACGCAGGAGGCGACGTGTGTACACTCCGCGAGGAACGCGGCCTGTGTGGCGTGCCCGCCTCGTACCTGCTCTGCCCCGGGCCTCCTGGAGGTAGGCGAGCATGAACTGCAGGCCGAACAGCTCCTGCTCCTCTCCCTCTGTGCTCTCGTGGGCCAGTGTGACTTCCAGTCTCAGTGGGTTGTCTCGGAAGTTGACAAACCTGGCAGTTAACAAAAAACAACAACACGGTTTTTATAGGTGCTGTAGAAGTGCACACCATCCCTGGAGACATTGCAGTGATAATATGCTAAATGACCTTTTGAACTGCTTTCAATAACTGAACATCTTGGTGAGATATGAAACATCCCAAGAATCTTTTTCTTCCCTAGAAGAAAAAAATACTAGCTTGAGACAGCTTATTTTCAAAGCTTGTAAAAGTAACTGTGAGCCCTGCCAGTGTGCTTCAGTTGTTTGGACATATCCATGCACCAAAGGGTCACTGGTTCACCCCCGTCCGGGCACAGGCCGGGGTTGAGGACTCCCTCCCTGTAGGGGCAGGCAGGAGGCAGCTGACTGGATGTTTCTCACATCAATGTTTCTCTGCCTCTCCTTTCCTCTCTCTCAACATCAATAAAAACATTTAAAAAACAAAAGCAGCTGCTAGTCCACAGCACCTATAGGGTGTCCCCCAAAAATGTATACACACTTTGAATAATTATTAATTCCTATGGGTTAAGTCAGTTGAGCTGTATCCGCTATTAGGTGTGTATACATTTTTGGGGACACCCTATATTTAACGTGGTACAGTTGAACTTCCAAGGGCAATTCTAATGCATCTCAAACACAAAATGCTCTTCGACTTAACAATGGGGTTAGGTCCCAATGGACCCATCGTAACTTGAAAGGAAGTGGAAAACTCATGTAATACGTTGAAGCCACCGACTGTGGTAGCTTCCCCTGGTCTGCCTTACACCTGCTCAGAACGCGCATTAGCTACAGTTGGGCCAAGCCTCTAACACAAAGCCTGCTTTATAACGAAGGGTCGAAAGTCCAGGGGCTGTCTGTACAATGAATGCAAGGAACTTAAAGTCTGCACACTTTATAGACTTGAACCTTTTTATCACCGTAGCTTTACCCTCTGGCACAGACCTTAGTAGTTGCTGAATAAGTGAGTGAATGAATGAATGATTTTGTTATGGATGTTGTGGGGTCTGGTGTGAATTCTCACATCTGATGTTCACTGTCAAGAAGTTAAATTTTGGAAGGAAGACACCAAAGGAGTTTTCACAGTAATTAGATGGTTTTTATGAAAATGCCACCAACAGAGGGCGTTTGACGCTGGTAAACCCAGCACTGCTTTCGTTTGATGGACTGACTGGCTCTCGGATAACAGACCAGTACAATGAGCCCTGTTCCTAACGTGCAGCGTTTAGAGCCGGAGGAGATGCGCGAGCAGGGACCAAGCCGCTACCTCAGGCTGGGCATGTCCCCCAGGCGCGCCGGGATGTCCCGCAGCTTGTTGTTGCAGAGCACGAGCGTGCCCAGGTTCCTCATGTTGCTGATGGAGTCGGGCAGGCACGTCAGTTCGTTCCGCTGCAGCCATAATGTGTGTAGATTCTGCATTCTGCAGGATTGGAGAGGTTTCTGCGATGAGTCAGTCACACAGATTATGAAAACCCTGGTTCTTAGGAACTTAAGAAGAAATGTCACCTTTTGTAGCATCTGCACTGACCCGCCTGCCTACTGGGCTAACTGGCCTCGGCCCACCCGGTTCTCAGGGGAGCCACACAGCCCTCCTGGCGCGGTGGCGGAAACGCGGCCGCTGGGCGCTGGAATTCTTCAGGGTTCTCACGGACTTTTGTAAAGAAGGACTGCGGTCAGCGTGACCTAATCTGAATTAGTCTTACGAGAAAAATCAGAAATTACGAGGGCGACTAGGATGCACACGGTTAACCGCGTGGACTCCGGGGCCAGGCTGCCTGGGTTCACACCCGCCTGCACACTCGCTACGACCTGAGCAACTCGGCTAAGGCTCTGCGCCCCGGTCTCTGCAGAGGGCAGGGGAGCGTGGCGCGCTGAGCGCTGCTCCCGCGGGGCGGGGGCGTGTTCACTTGTGGGAGTCAGTAGCCAGGTCTCTCACTTTCTCTGGAGTAAATGCAAATATTCTATTAAAGGAGCACGGTGAGAGCTGGGAGCATCTGTTGCGATGGCCCTGCTCGGGGTCCCCTTCGTTCCGTTCGCTAGGTGGCCTGGGCGCCCCCGGGCAGCGCCCGGGCGGCTGTACCTGTCTATGGCGTCGGGAAGCTGCTGCAGCTGGTTGCTCCCCAGGTCGAGCCACTCGAGGGCGGGCATGCCCAGCACGGCGGGGGGCATGGCCGTGAAGCTGTTCATGCTCAGGTCGAGGTGCGTGAGCTTCGTGAGCCCGCTGAGCTGAGGAGGAAGCGAGGGTTCCCGGGTGAGGGCGCGGGGTGAGCCGGCACCCGCACGTCCGTGAGGGAGACGCCGCGTGGAGGGATGCTCCCGCATGCTCGGCTCCGGGTCGCCCAGGCGTCCCCAACACACTCGAAATCAAAATAAACCTGAGGAACCTCCAGGCGCGTGAAAAAGTCTCGCTAGAAAGGCACGTACCCCTCCATCTCCCTAGGCTTCTATCTTGCGGAGTCCTCGTTCTCCAGGCGCAGCGCCGAGGGGACTCCCCCTGCGATGCTAAGAGCACCAGACACGTCTGAAAAGCAGCGCGAATGTCTACCTCTCTAGGGCCAGCGACCGGCGTGCCTTTTACCAATAACGAGACATCAGAATAACAGCCAATCAGAGTCTGAAGGCTTTCCAAGCCCATGACTTCGCTTTTACTTGGTGGTTGGAGCCTAGGAACCTACTTTTCCTGAAAAGGAAACACCTATTTATTATCAACTCCAACCCGGGCTGTGCCTTCAACTCAGAATAGAAATAAAAGACTCGCTCTGGCCTCCAGGGAGACACAGTCGCGTCAACGAAGGCTGTTGGTACTGTGACAATACCAAGTATCTTTTAAGATAAACACAGCTTTCTCCTATTCAAACAGTGCATTTTACTTAAAATAACAGGAAACGGCTCTCACTAAATATTTCCTGAAGTTAACATTTATAGCGTTTCTGCTTTAGCCAGTTCTGCTCAGTGGTTAGAGCGTCACCCCATGGACTGAACGGTCCCAAGTTCAATTCCGGCCAAGGGCACGCACCTTGGTTGCAGGCTCCAGCCCCTGGGCCACGTGTGGGAGGCAACCAATCGATGTCTCTCTCACATCGATGTTTCTCTCTCTTTCTCTCTCTCTCTCCCCCACTGTCTCTGAAAAGCAATGGAAAAAATATCCTCAGGTAAGGGTTAAGTCAAAAACAAAACAATTGATAGCGTTTCTTTACTGGTGTTATTTTTAGCGATCACACCATTGAGAGAAGCAAGCCACTAGCAGGCGGGACATGCAGTTGCGGCATTTGTGTGTCTCTGACCTCCTGTGGAAGATCACATATGTCTCTGTTGACAGCGAGTTCCAGTTTCTCCAAGCTGGCGCAGTGGCCCAGTTCCTTGGGGACAGTCTTGATTTTGTTGTAACTAAGAATCAGTTCCTGAAGTCTAGTAAGCAGCCCTACAAAAAAGAAAGCACAGGAGGGAGCAGGTGGGTAGGAAATAATGTTCCCAGTTATGAAGCGTTAGGGCACTAAGGCCTCGCCCGCCTCGTGTGGATGAATCCGCACTTGGGCTCTTGGCCCTTCCCGGCGAGGGCCAGCCTGTCAGTGCTTTGCGGCCTGTTTCATCTGCCGTGTGCTCACCCACGTCCCACCTGAGGATTTCTTTTCTCCGTTCTAATTTTCTTTCCTGCCTTCAACCTGTCCCCTTCAAGGAGGAACATCCGAACCAGCAATATCAGCTTTAGAATCTATACAATGACGTTTCCAACGAGACTTTTCTTGCACTGATATCTCATCCTTAATAACCTCAGTACAAATCCAGAAGCTTGGGTCCCCCAGACTGTCGATGTAGACCAGACATTTACAATTTTCTCAAGACTCAGGGCTATGGAACAGTGAGATCTTTATCCCATGGAGCAAACAAAAATGTTTTCTTTTAGTGTAAGTTTTTTTAATTTGAGAGAAACATCGATGCATTCATTGGTTGATCCCTTTATGTGCCCTGATGCTACCCACAACCTTGGTGTATCGGGATGACACCCGAACCAAACGAGCTACCCGGCCAGGGCCTCAAACAAAAATCTTAGTGAAAAGCACACCTGCAGGCAGATAAAATAGCACAGGGATAAAAGCAGTCTTCCTTACCTATCCCTCGAGGTATCTCTGAAATTGTGTTTCGAGATAAATCTAACACAATGAGGTTCTGGAATCTCCCGATGAATTCAGGGATTTTCAACAAACCAGTTCTGTGCAGTTGCCACTCCTGTAGCTGATTCAGTTTCAGTAGAGAAGCGGGAAGGGTCTGAGCCAAGGAGAAGGAAGGACAGTCACCGCATTAGTGTCATGGGCACTGAGGTGTGGTGGTAGAGCTATTGCCTGATGTGTAAAAGAACTTGGAATATTTTTTTCTCAGTGGGTTGTGTTTCCAAGTGCTTTATGTTATTCACTTCTTCTTTTGGCTGTGTGTGTGCATGCATGCCCATGTGTGCCTGTGTGTGCATGCCTGCGTGTGCCTGTGTGTGCATGCATGTGTGTGTCTGTGTGTGCATGCATGTGTGTGCCTGTGTGTGCATGCCCATGTGTGCCTGCGTGTGCCTGTGTGTGCCTGTGTGTGAGAGAGAGAGAGAGGATACGCATCAGGTGGTGGACCTAATAAAATAATATCCATTTCCATTTTGTTAAGTTTTTGCTTTGGAAAAAGCTACGTGATTTTTCATTAGGCAGCTGGTCATCTTTTTATGGAAAATGAGAAATTACTTATTAAAAGGATTAGTAGGAGAAAAATTACAAATGACTTAAGTTTAGGCGGAGTAGAAGCAAACTGAATTTTTTGCAACAAAAAAAAAAGGTGACAAGTTTCTTTTCAGTTGTCTAAATTCATTGGGGTATATTATTAACATTAGAATTTCTAATTATTCCAGTCTCAATGGCACAGTCTCAGAACCACTCTCTCAGCTCTCCTGCAAAAAGCAAAATGTAGAACGTCAAATATTACTTGCAAAGCCTACCTTCCATTCCTCTTGTTCTATCTTCAAAATAACTCTTCCGTTTTCCCTGGTGACCCTGTCTTTCAGCCTGGAGAAGTTCACTCTTTCTTCCCAGATCCGCAGAACCCTGGGACACCAGGAGGTCACGTTAGTGCCCAGATGATACAGGCAGCACTCACTTTTATATTAAACTGATCAGAGCAGATATTACACTTGATTTTAGCCAAAAGGCGGAGAAGCGATAGCATTCACTTTTATATATATAAAAAAAAGGACCATCGAAAACAACCACTTGATCAATAGTATCTGAAAATCAAACAACTTATTTTGTAAAAATTTTAAATCTGATCGGTATCACAAATGCCCCGTTTTGATGTCTTTGAAAAGTCTAATAACTCTCCATAAATTTGTTTATAACAACAGCTTTAGTTTTATTGAGATATAACTTACATGCCATGAAACTAATCCTTTTACAGTATATGATTCAGTGGTTTGGGTATATTCACAGAGCTGTGCAACCATCTAATCCAAAACATAAGCAGTCATCAAAGAACGTAAGTGTAGTTCATTTTAATATTTATTTGCTAAAATCTGTTGAAATCTGGGAGGTAACATATATTCTTAACAGTTTTGCCTATTAACTGATCTTCACTGAGGATTTTATTTTAATGGACAGAAACCCAGATCTCTCTAAAAGTGTAATATTTGCTCTCTATATGTTTGTGTTTGCAAAATATTTCAAAATGTTTTCATCTGCTACTTGCCTAAAATTTAACGACTCTGCTAACAAGGGGTTGCTGATACATGTGGCCTTCTAGGCTGAACAGCTAAGCTTCTGATTGACAATGAAATTGTTTTAGAATTAAGGAAAGATTACATTTCGCAAATTCCAAGTAAAAATTCTAGAGCTAAAAACTGATTTTGGTCTAGGTTTTAAAAAAAAACAAACGATACGTTCCCCCACCCCCACCCCCACTAAATTTCTCAAATGATCTCTGACTTTTTTCCTAAAGATTATCAGAAAACTCTTAATACAGCATATACTAATTATAGCTGTTAGCATAGGTCTTGTCTGTAACCCCGAGGGCAGAATCTGGGGATGGTTTACCCTTAGCGCTCCCTGCTGCTCACAGCGGGCGAACGTCAATCTGCTGCATGAATGAGTGTCCCAAGGGGCTGACCTAGGCCCCAGAGCTAAATAGGCAGAGTCTAGACCTAATCTTAATGATCGTGGTGGGGGGGGGTGCAACTTAATTTTTGGAATTCACATTTTACTAACAGTCAGTCCTTCCTCCCAATCACAATTTAGTCATGAAGCCAAAAAAAAAAAAAAAAAAAAAAAGATGCAATAGGGCAAATAATGCACACTCCTTACTTTTGTACAGAGAGAACTCAGAGCTGCTGAAATAAAATACTCCTTCACTAGGCGTATGTAATAGGGGAAATTCAAAAGTTTAGAACCAAGCTGTGATTCCTGCCACTGTCTTAAAAACAAGTAGCATTTGTTAAAGTCAAATTTATCATCACTGTGTACTGTAAACATAATAGGTTTCATAAGAGTAGCTCTCTCGAGACAGAGCCAACCTCGGGACATGGAAGACCTGAGGTCAAGGTAATGCTCAGGGCGTCAGATGGCCGGAGTGTGAACACCGGCTCCACGTTTCTTAGCAATGTGATCTTTGACGAGGCTCTGCGGCCTGTCTCCGGGGCTTTCCATCTTGAAAACGGAGAAAATAATAACCCACTTGGGTGGCGGAGTATCTGTCATCCCCATATCTGCTAATCCTCAGCATCCTCAGTAACAGATCCTCTAAATTTAAGTGGGCACAAGATGTCATTTAGCCACCCCCCCCCCTTGCAGCTAAATATGGGTCATGGGGAGCCTCGGCCAACGGGATGCTGGCAGAAGTAGCGTGTGCATGTTCCTGCTGGCTGGAGTCAAGTCCAAGAAGGCAGCGGAAACGAGAGCCAGCCTATTTAAATGCAGCCCAAATCGAGGAATCGGCCAGTCCCAGGGGCGCTGGCTGGAACTCACAGCTATTCCAATGGGTGAGAGTCTAGGGAGCCTCCTGCCAGGCGTCGTTTTAGATCCTGGGGGATATGAAGTGGTGCATACTCACTGAGCAGCAGACTAAATGCCGTTCATCAGACGGCGAGGAACGTCAAGCAGAGTCCTCTGAGGGCCTAGGGTAACTACGGTTTTCACAGAGAGACACTTGTGTTTTCTGAGCCCCCATCACATGGCCCCACTTAACCGAGTCAGGTGTTTCCTTTGGGTGTATATTGACTTTCCAATAAATAAAAAAATCTCCATCCAATTCAATAATAACGCATTTAACAAATGCCCTTTTCTATAACGCTGCTACGAATTTTCACTCGCTCGGAAGAATGAACACGGTTTGGCTTACTTCTGTCGAAATTCCTTCTCCCGCCTCAGGTCTTCATTGAGAACCTGGATTCTTTTTTCCCACACTTCCTTCACGGCATTGACGGCCCCCGTACAAACCACGTTTTCTGACATGACTTCTCCACATTGTCACAGAGTCCCCAACGTCATTAGGTTCTAAATCGGGGAGTCACAGAGGCCGTCTCAGAAAGGACCTAGTTGTTCCAGAGGAAAAAACAAAGTTTCAGGGTGTTCATTGAGTACCATCATGATCATAACAGCTTCTAAGTATTGAACACTTTTCATGTTCCCCAAATTATTTATACACATGCCATATCTCACCCAACGATCCTCATAAAAACACTGTGTCACAGGTACTCCTACCGTCCCTAAAATACAGACGGGTCCTAATATAGGGCGACGGGAGAAGATCTGACTTTGGGTGGTGGGCACACAGTGCAGTGTACAGACCTTGTAACACAGAAACTCACACCCGAAACCTATACGATCCTATTAACCAACGATTAACTGCCTTTGGGGGGAAAAAATATGGAAATAACCACTGAAAACTAAATCCTGAAATAGTTAAAATGTTACTTCTAGGGTGATGGGGAGAAATGGGGTAAAAAACATTGCTTTTCATTATTAATCTCCTCTAAATTACTGATTCCTTTAAAGTAGAGGTACGCAGTGTGTGTGATGAGAGAGAGGCCAAGTCAGACAAAGAGGGAGAAGAAACACATTAGAGGGAAAGCGTCGGAAACTTCAGGACTGATACAGAATTGCCAACGCCCAGAAAATCCTTAGAGAGGGTCCCTGTTTCTCGGCGACGCGTGGGGAAGCCACAGGGACAGCTCGCGAGACCCCGCTCCTTCAGAAACCCTGGGATACCAATGCGGATGAAGCCCGGACCTGGGCATGTCCCAGCCCACCTGCCCTATGTCCCAGAGTTTAGCAAGTCTGACTCATTTGTGGCTCAAACAACCACGTACTTTTTAAAATCCCAAGTAGACACAGATGGGCTGGTTCATTCCCTCATCTGCCGTTAAACTCCGGGCAGCCTTCGGTTTTCCGGTAGCAGCGCCCAGGGTCCCTTCGAGGGAACCTACTGGCCAGTAACAGCCACGGATCACGGCCTCTCCCTTGATTGTTACCTTGACAGACAAGCACATGGCCCAGCCGGGAAAGTCAGCTTCCCAACGTCAAAACGAAGAAACACAACCTCAAGACCGACGCTTCTGAACTTTCAGGGCCACCGGTCTTCCAGGGAAGGACAATTAACCCCCAAAGAGACGTTTGAATCCAACTCCAAGTTTTGTTGTACGTCCCAGCAAATACAGACTCAGTAAAAGCACCAGCAGCAGTCTAGTTATATGTGACAAATGGGAACAAGACAGAAAACAAAACTTACCATCGTTGGTGGCCGCAGAAGCCGACATGCCCAAGGTTAGCGGTTATCAGCTACGAGTGTATTGTTTCCAGCGTGGCTCCCAGTGAGTCAAATCCTCGGTCAGACTGTGACCAAGTGAAAGGCAATGTCAGCCTGCTTCTAAATTTAGTTCATGGACGGAGCTGAGAATAGCAGGGACCACGTGGAGCGCCCGCGGGAGGACCAGCTGGTGACGTCTTGGGTGTGCTCCGTGCGGGTCCAATGCTGCGCCGCAGGCACCGTAGAGCTACAGGCAGGCGCCTCTCCCTGCGCTCCTGGAAAAGAACTCCTCCGGAAGCCCTTCCTCTTTTCCTGACTTCCACATTTGCAGTGTTTAATGTAATTTTTTAAAAATATGTTTTTATTGATTTCAGAGAGAGGAAGGGAGAGGCAGAGAGATAGAAACATCCATGATGAGAGTCATGGATCGGCCGCCTCCTGCACGCCCCCGACTGGGGATCCGGCCCACAGCCCGGGCATGTGCCCCGACCGGAAACTGAACTGCCATCTCCTGGTTCATAGGTCGATGCTCAGTGACTGAGCCATGCCAGCCGAGCTATTTAATAAAGTTTAATGACTCTGTTGGAAGCAGAGAAACTTGGAAATATGAGGCTGTACGCCGTAACAAAACCCTGCCTCGTAAACCACAGATCGTTAACCACTTAGACTAAAGGCACAGGTGCTTCACAGAAAAAGAAAAATGAAGGTGTTGGTAAGTTAGTGGGCGACAGGAGCCCCAAGCTCCTCCTGCACCCGGACTTCAAGTTAATTACCTCTCAACCTTTATCTCCTCAGCCTCACATAGGCAGGGGTGAAGTCCTGGTTCATTAAAAAAAAAAAAAAGTGTATTTAGTTTTTGAATTGGTAATATGTGCACGTGGAACAAAATTCCAAAGAGAGTGAAGGTCCCGCTGCCCACCTCCAGCAGGTCAATTCTCTCCCCTGAAGACAATGGCCACTGCCAGTTACTCCTGTGCCCTTCCAAAGATGGTGTGTGAATTGACACAGAAGAGTAAATTGCCATTTTATATAGACACACACTCACACATGCACACACACCTCATTTCCCTAAACCAATCAACAGCGGAGACACGAATCAATATCACATGAAAACACTCACCCTCTAGCTTACTGGGAATTGGCCAGAAATGGGAAGCTCATTGGCAGTGATTTTAAAATCTTCATTGGAGAAAAACACGCTGTGAGTCCAAGTAACCAATATGCCTTTTAGCAAGCGAAAAATTAAAAAATGAACAAAACATAACTTCTCTCACGAACATAAGTGGTTCCGTAGGCCTTCCCGTTATCTAAAGACAGTTCTCACAGGAACTATGGAATCTAAATGGTAATAATCAAAATATTACACAACCTCCCGGGGCGATTTAAACCTAAACTCGTACGAACATTGGATAAAAGCCATTATAGTTTTGCTTCGAGAGAAAAGGAAAAGCAGTGCCTGTGGCACACTCACAAATCAGGACACAACATTGCACTGGCTTCCTACACATCCAGAGGTGTTTCTGTCCACGTAACAACTTAAAAAGTTCTACTCCTCCTGCTTTTATTTTTATGCACTATTTTTTAGTTCTATAGAAATAAAAGCTACGCTGAATTCTAAACTCTTCCACTGGATAATGCTTTGTTTCTAGGACACGGACCCAGCCTTTGAGGACAGATTGTGGACATTTCCAAAGGCACCTACAAAAATTGCTTTTATTCTCACGTCCACAAAGCACTATGCAGAACCCTTGATATCTATAACGATGGAATTGTGGAAATTGATTGTATTTAGAAAGTAAGACAGGCAGTGCCCTCCATGGTCCGCAGATCTGTCTCTCCCTTCGACAGTGTTCGGGTGGCACAGACCCACGGACGCCCCTCTTCCAGCCTCCGGCCACCCTCCACCGTCTTTTCCAGCCTCTGACACCAGCCAACACCGTTTTTTGAGTTTAACTCCTACTGCTGAGCAGCCATGAGCTCCCAAGTTCGTCAGAATTACGCCACCGAGATGGAGGCCCGTCACCCGCCTGGCCACCCTGCGTTGCGGGCCTCCCCACTCACCTCTCCCTGGGCCCCCAGAGGGCCTGGGCCGCTTCCCCCTTGAGTCGGCCCAGAAGCCGGCGGGCCACGGGCGTCTCTTAAAGATGCAAAACCAATGCGGTGGCGACGGTCTCTCCCGGGATGTGCTGAAGCCTCCCCAAGATGAGCGGGGTGACACCCAGGACGCCACGGAAGCCACCGCGGCCACGCAGAGGGGCCCAGGGTCTGCGGGCCCTGGGCTCTGCCCGCACAGACCTCCGCTCTGGTTCCTGCAGGACCACTTCCGGGGTGAGCGGGTGAAACTCACCAAGACGATGGGCGCCACCTGCCACCTGCCTCCCCTCCGTGGGCGGGCGCAGGCCGCGGCCCCCGGGCTGGGCTGGGCGGCCCGTGTCTCCTCGCCAGGCTCACCCTCACGCACCGCCAGAGGCCTCTGGGGCCCCGAGGCCTTCCAGGGGCTCCTCTGCACCCCCGGTGTCCGGCTCGTGCCTGAGCCTCTCCCTGCAACCACTAGGCATCCTGTTAACCACCCCGGAGCCTCTCCCATGCACTGGACCAAATGGAAACAATAAAGCTTTTTGCAGCAAAAATTAAAATAAAATTAAAATAAATAAATAAAATAAAATAAAATAAAGGACACCTGTGGAAACAATTCGGTTCTGTTAACATTGGAGTGCCTTGCATTTACATGTCAGTACTTCTAGCATTCACCAGCTTCTCAGGGGAACAGTGCTGTAAATGACAGTGGTGGTTTTAAAAAAAATTATGCCACCTCCTGCTCTGTCCAAGTAACACACGAACCAACTTGGCCCTTCTAATCTCCTGCCAGGAACACGAGGAGGCCACGGCCAGGTCCACGTGCAATCCGTGGAGCCCTCGGTTTGCCGCGCTGTTAGTGTGGTGGCCCAGTCCCTGGCCTCCTCTCTGTCCCATGCCAATATCTAATGTTCCCAATCGTTAGGCAAGGTCCGATTTATATTCATCCCCGCAGTTCCCGTGAACTCGGTTACACCTGCCATCAACATCACGCGCCCCTGTTCCCGAGGTTGGCACTCTGGCTGCATTTTTCCAGGAAATTAAATCGCCAGGTTTTTCCAGACGGTTGCACTCTTGCGAATTCTGTACAGACTTTGTAACCTTGATTTTTTTTTTTTTTAATGTTCCTTTTTTTAATCACATTTTTAGAGCTACTATCCTACTTAGGACTTCCTTCTTTCTCCAAGTTTTTTAGAACTATTTACTCCAAATGAAAAGGTATTTAGAAGCTTCTTGCCCCAAACTTCAAGTTAGGCAGGGATGGAGAGTCTCATACCGTGGGGAACAGGGGTCGGGGGAGCACGGGAGCTTCCTCCTCCTGGGCCTGAGATGAGCGTGAGCCCATCTTTGACTGTCCCCCGATATCTAACCTAAATTCTGCCCCCCTTTCGCATGGCTCCCGTCCTTGCTGTCAAGACACAGCAGCCGGCCCCATGCTTTGCCTGGGGACAATGCACGCGGAGCTCAGGGAAAGCCCAATATAGAAGGAAGGTCTCTCCATAACAGAAGTGCAGCTGTTCTTGTCACACTCCTCTGTCTCTGTGGCTCTGCTCTGGACTGGCTCCAGCTCTCCCGCTCGGTGATGGAGCTGGCCTGGAGGAGAGCTGGCCTGGCGTTCTCTCCCAAAGGCTGGCCAGCTCGTGTGTCAGCTTGGGGTTCGAGCCCTTTGCTCGGTCCTGGGACCACCTCGTGATGTATCCGTTCCCATTTAATTCCGGGCTCGAAACATCAGGGTGTCACGCTACCTTTGGTGTTCGCTTAGATGGTGATGCGTCAGGTGACATAGAAGAGCCCGTGGTTACGTTGATGGGCAAACAACGATAACATGGACCATCTCAGGTCTAGCATAAAAGTTCAGAGTTGACCTGGTCTGTTCTGAGGTCACTGAAATGCGTAGTGACCTTGAGATGCTAAGATGAAAACAAGCGTCTAGAGCTCGGGAGAGAAGCAGATCCAAAGAGAACTGCTCAGGAGACCTCTGGAGGAGGGTGCGGGCCAGACCCCTGCCAGGGACACTGGGGTCGCACGTGAGCAGAGGAGAAAGAAGCCGACGACAAGGGGTGGCCAGAGCAGCTTCCAGAATCCTCCTGGAGACAAGTGCCCCCTTTGCCCTCCATCCCGCCTTGTGGTCAGCACAGAGACCCATCCACTTTGTGCCCAAACAAGCCTGGGAGCTCCCTGGACAAAGACTGTCCCCGGCACCCTCTTCTTCCTACCTGACCACTTCTTGGAGTGTGTGAACAAATCTCCAGTTACTTTATTTCCGGGAACTTAAACCTGATGGTCAAAGGGACTCATGTACATTTCACCTTTGCATGGGGCCGAGTGTCAGGAGATCCAAAGCCATGCAGCCAGGACATAAAGGACGGGAAGGGAACGTGGTGCGCTCTAACGAGCATTTTGACCTCTGAGGTGGGAATTAATACCCACTCTGGATCCGTCCTTCCACCTTCCTTCCCTGCTCGGTTTCCTTTCCAGGTCAGAGGAGCGCTCTACTCAGTGAATGGAAGGAACCTTGGTCTTCACTGAGTTTTCTGGCTTCTCCCCTTTAATGTGAACCTTGAGGAACACAGCGAAAGCCTTGCGGGGCCACTGCCCACCCCATGGTGTGTGGAGCCCTGTGCATCCGCTCAGCGAAGAGGATTGTGCTCCTGGCCCCTCGGTCCCCAGGGAATCCTCCTAGCCTAAGGGTCCTACACGGTGGGAAACACATCTCTTCCCGAATTCTCAGTGGCTGAGGCTAAAGACAAGATGGCAAAAGGACAGAGCCGACAGCTCAGCGGTGACTTGGGAATATAAAGAACATCCTGAACCAGTGATCTTGCACCTCTGGGGGAGTATATTATGTGCTCACTTCGGGACTCCTGTTCCCCTAGTTTGCACAGTCTTTAAGTGAGGGGGAAATTTTTACATCATGTCATTCTTCACTTAAAATTCTGCAAATGCTGTCGATAGGGCATTGGTTAAATGTTGGTATGTCCATCTCCTGAGCCTCCCGACAGGCTCGGTAACCTCTATGAGATGTTCTCGTAGCACCCTGCTTTTTCCTACTGGGGTGTAATTGCATTTTTATGATAATTTAGTATCTGTCTCCTCCACTTGAATGTAAGCCCAGTGAAGGCAGGGACCACGACAGAGGGTGGACATTGTGGCCCAGTGCTTTGCACCGAGCCTGGTATACAGCAGACGTTTAATATTTAAATGTATAAATACACACAATAGAATACTTTGCAGCCATTTAAATGTACAATAATATAGAATTGTTTATTGACATCTAAAGCTACTCATATGTTAAATTTAAAAAAAATTATAAAATAGTATAGTATGACCTCATTTTTATAAAAAGAATTGCTATGTATATAGATACATTGATCACCATGTTAATAGCGGTAAGATTATGGATGATTTATTTTCTTTGCAACTCTTCATATTATCTGAATTTAAGAAATAACATTCAGTTGATCCATTATTTTCTTTATTATTTATTGATTTTGAGAGAAACACAGGAAGGGAGAGAGAGAGAAACATCAATTTGTTGTTCCACTGATCTATGCATTGCTGGCTGTACCTTGTATGCGCCCTGACTGGGGATCGAACCCACGACCTTGGCATATGGGGGCGACACTCCAACCGAGCCACCCGGCCAGGGCCAATCCATTGTTTTCTAATTTAAACATTATTTCCATTATTAAAACAATCAAGTACATATTAAAACAACTTTTTTTCTATCATAAAACTTTAAGTTTTTTAGACAATATTTGAAACAACCGAATTTATGAATCACATCAGAATGTTGGATGGGATTCATCTTGATGCTATTTCTTGTTAAAGTTGGGCCTCTACCAAAATGACCACAATCTCTTCATTTCTATACAAAATTTGTTATTTTATTTTAATGTCCATAATTACCCATTCCACTCATCTCTCTCTCCTTTACTGGTTATAAAATTGTACCTGGGCATTAAGATATGCGTATAATTCCCCTTTTTAAAAGAGATTAATTTACATAAATAAGGCATTTACAGCTGATGACCTCTGCAGAGTAACATACCCCTGGGTATCTTAAGTCCTAAGTATAATTGCACTTAGTTTATACTACAATTGGCATTATTGTGGGAAAATGGAAACTATTCTTGAATATAGTAACTTCTCCCAGCTTAGTGTAATCGAAGAGTTTTATTAAGTCAGTTTAAGATACGAAAAAGAAAGAAATAGGGCAAATCCTGTGTATGGCTACCTGTCTTTTAGTAACACGCATTTTCTTGTTCTTGGCGGTTTCAATCTGTCGACACAGAGGCCTCAGGACAAGATTAAGAAACACCACCATGACCTATAGAATGAGACAGCCTCGGAGAACTAGTACCCGGCTACTCAGTTTCTTAGAGAGGGCATCAGAACCGTGATCAACGTGGTGCCTGAGAACTTTAATCACCCAACACAAATACTTATGATACCAATCATCACATGTGCGAGCACAGCTAGGTACTACGTTTTCTTTGGAAGCTCAAACAGTTCGGGAACGTCACAGTCTTCATTTCAGATCTAGCAGCATGAAAGCTGGGTTTTCCAAGTAGGACTTCCACAGATTGGAGAAGCGCGACACCGTGGCGCCATCAATGATCCTGTGATCAGCTGACCAGCTCACGTTCATGATCTGCGCCTTGTATATCTCCCCTTTCTGGTTGAATCGAGGAAGGGCCTAGAAATACAGAAAAGAGCAAGAGTCAGCCTTCACCGTGCAAAGCACCAGATCTAGCAACTGCGCTGCCGAGAGACTGGGCAGGTCCCCTGCGAACGCCGGAGAGAGGCCGGCCCCAAACGACTTCTGAGAAGCCAGTTCCTACTTGCTTCACCTCTGAGCAGGTGCCTCCAGCTCTGTTTCTCCCAGGTAGTTACGGTTCCTGTACAATTTCCATATGAACAGTGAATTTCATCTGTTTCAGTTATTTAATGAATGTTTATTGAGCACCTCTGCTATGTGCCAGGTGCTCTTCTAGATGGGGGATGAAGCAGTGAGCAGAACAAATGACCCTTCCCTCTTGGAGTTGACACTTTCATTCATTCATTTATATTTTAATTATCTTTGTTGTTGAAAGTATTACAGATGTCCCCTTGGAGTTAAATCTTAATGGACAAAGACAATTAAATAAGTAAAATACATAGTGTGTCAGATTGTGTAAAGTGCAAAAGACAAAGATGTAGCAGGTGGCAGGGGACAGCCTGCAGAAGGTGAGAACACAAGCCATGTGGCTGCCTAGACACAGAGACAGAGGGGAGGGCAGGGGCGGGTCCACAGGGCAGCACATGGGGGGGACCCCGTAGGGGTACGGGGAGGACCCACGCGGGAACAGTCAGATGTCCACTGCTCCCTGCAGAGGCCGCCAGGCGCTGCTGGCCCAGGGCTCAGGAAGAAACCCCGGGCTCACCGAGCCAAACGCTGCACTCGAACCCGCAGCGCGGGGAACCTCAGGGATGGTGCCTCCTCCCGTGTCACGCTCCCGATTTGCTTACGCTCTTTTCTAAGTGTCTCGTCCAAGTACCTTAATGGATCCCAGGGCCCCAATGGCTACTTCAGGCGGCAGAATCACGGCTTTGGCGTAGGTGCCTCCGATCTGGAAGAGACAGAGCAGGAGGGGCCGTGAGGCTC